GCTTTTTTTCAGCACGGAGCTTTGCCGGAAAAAAGCGACAGCCATTTTTATGTTAATGAAGCGGGGGAGATTTAAATCCTCGCTTCATCTGAAATTGCGATTGGTCTAATTTGCATCCCTTTTATGAAAAAGGGATGCGATCTAGACGTAGCCAGATTGTGAATGGCTCCCTAACTACAAAAGCAGCTTCTCCTCTCTTGGAATTCACACCTCCAGATCAGCTACTAGAAGTGGGCCTCATCCTCCTTGATTGGATCCACCTTGTCATCTCCAGCCTGATTCTGGCCTGCATATTTATACCTGCCTCTGGAAATTTCCACTACATGCATCTGACGAAGTGGGTCTTTGCCTACGAAAGCTTATGCTCCAACACTTCAGTTAGTCTATAAGGTGCCACAGAACTCCTCGCCTCTATTCCTTGAGTGAGGGGTGGGGGCAATGGTAGCTGGAGCTGCAACCCCTCCACAGGTTCAAACTGCAGTTTCTCTGAGCAGGGGGGTGACAGCTGAAACCACCTTAGCTGCCTATAGCCAAGGAAGACCCTGGAAGTGAGTCTGACTCACCTGGGAAGTGGCCCCTGCATATGAAGGGGAAGTCTCAACCTTCCCGGTCCCCATCTAAGACTAGCAGCTGGAGCCCAGTGGAGGCTAGATGCTCCCAGCTGCAGGCCAGATTTCATGGGGAGCTCAGATTTCATGATCTGTGATGCATTTTTACATGTGTGAATTTGGTAGGGCCCTAACTATTACTCTGATGTTCATTTCAGAAGTAAAATCCGCCAATTTGCTTGTTCTGAAATCCCATATAATCTTTACAGAACTTTGTGACAGCCAAGATTCTCATCTGCTAAAACCTCCTGTTTTCTTTGACAACCTGTACAGTGCAGTTGCTTAAATTCAATGTGTGCAGACGATTCTGTGTTACAAAGTTAGGGGCAAGGACGCCCAGATCCTCAATGGAAATTTGGCAAGAGAGGCACCTCTCATCTCTGAAAATCTGGAAGAGTACATAGAATTTAATACAAATTAAATAACACATGAAATATTATCCCAATTGTATTATGTACGCAATGTTGTATCCATGTTAGTTTCAAGACCTTTCCCAGGCCTAAAGATAGGGTTGTCAGATGGTTTAACCAAAAATACCAAACACCCCCCCCCCACACACACACACACACAAAAACTCACCGGGGAAAAAATTCTGTTGAGAAAAAAAGGGGAAGACCAAAGTTGTTGAGCACAAAAAAAAAGAGAGTTATTAAGCAAAAAAAGCCATTTAAAAAAAAACAAAAAAACAGCGTGGCCCCTTTAAAAAATGTCTTTGAGGATTTTTGACCCTAACAGGCTGCCAGTGGCCATCCACTATCTTGTCTCCCTGCTCCAGGCCATACAGCTCCCCCAGAACGAGGTAAGCACCCAGGATTTTCGTCTTCTGGCCGGGAAAAAAATCAGAAAATATTGGACATTTTAGATGTCTGGTATTTTCTGAATTTTTTTACTGGAGGCGAAAATACCGGACTGTCCAGGTCAATACCGGACACCTGGCAACCCTATCTATAGAAGACTTCTGCGTAGCTTGAAAAACTGTCTCTCTGTTGGTCCAATAAAACGTATTGCCTCAGACACACTGTTTCACTGACTGGACTATTCATTTTCAAATTTAATTAAGTAAAAGTTTCAAATTTTAAAGTCTATGCTGCACAGGTGATTTGCTGAATCATCAAGCTTTTCATGGAGGACATGTCCTCAGATTATATAGAATATTTTTATTGCAGTAGCAACTAGAAGACCCAGCAAGGCTTAGGACTCCCTTTGTGCTCGTCCTCTTCACATACATAATGACCTAAAGAATTTACAATCTAAATACAGGCAGTCCCCGAGTTACGCAGATCCGACTTACGTCGGATCCGCACTTACGAACGGGGCTTTCTCGCCCCGGAGCTCGCAGGCAGCGGGGCCGCCCAGAGCGCAGCGGTCCCGCCACCTCGACTTCCGGGGCGAGAAAAGCTGCTCCGGGTGCCCCTGGTCTGCTGGGGACCGTCTCCAGCAGACCAGGGACACCTGGAG